CATGTATCAAAACAAATAAATGGATTTTAGTTAGAATACAACACGTTAAGCTTATCTTCCTTTTTGTTATCTGAGATAGTGTAAAATATTTGTGTTGTAGGTTAAGTGGTCTGGGAAATTTCTGATTAAATGCGTTTATTTGATGATAATGAATCATAGTACTAATTCAGAAGCATCTTTTTAACCGACTGTAAAAAGTAGCAGTAGAGCTCCTTGTGAAAGAGTTCATCCAGGGAAGTACTACACCTTACCTATTTCTGCCGCCAAGCAGTAATGTTGCTATTACTGTGTTCCGCTTTTGAAGGGTAAGGGTGCTGGTGAAGTTACAGGCACATGGGACTTGTGAACTTATGTTGCAGGGTGACGGACGCAGTGGCAGTGTCCTTCAGATCTTTGCGATTTAAAGCTCTGAGTGGCACTGCAACTGTTACGGACAGGTGTGTTGCTTACCATCAGGCGCACGACTTGTTCGTCCGGATACCTCAGTAGTTGTCCTATTCAAGGATGGCAAATCAGGGGATGGATCCGGTTTATTGGATGTTACACACTTTCCGTTAACCGATTTCAATTAAACTTGGCAAATAGATGTAATTACAAAAACTTTTTTTAACTGTCTCCGTGGCCGAACGGTTGCCACACTAGACTACCACGCCGAGGTCCCGGGTTCGATTCCCGGGCGAAGAGGCTTTCATTTATTTTTCTTGTGAGTTAGGGTCTAAATTGTGGTTGTCTATGTGTGTATCCATGGCACTTGCGATACAGGGTTTCCATAATGCGGGGCTGTGAGTGTATGCGTTATTATTATTATTACTTTAAGAGGTCTGTTTTTTTTAATAGTTACACTTATATACAATGGATGTAAATATTATGTATACAATGTGTTGATTTGCATTCTCGCCATATTAACAGAGGTCATTCTATATCTGAGACTGTACCTAAATCACTAAAAAAAAAATCGAAAAAAAAACTTAAATTCTTATTTTTTATTTAATTATGGTAAACAAATTTGATCCAAAGGGCATTGACTTGTACGGCAGTTGCTACAGGTACCGGCAAACATTTTGGACAATGTCCTTAAATGCGCAGAAACGCATTTTAGATCTATTTGGTGGTAGGGTACAGGTAGCGACGGCGGGAGCTTTGCTTCCCGTACTGCGTCTACGTCACGCTTACATCCCGCATACATTCTATTCTAGTCTCTCACGAAATGCCACGTGGTTTGGTAATCAAGAGTTAGTAGTGCAAAAAAGAACCGCTACCAGGTTCATCAAAACCTGCATGGTAATCCATCAAGTACAAGTGCGTGTCTATTCTTAAGGCATGATGTGAAACGTTTAGTTTAATCGGAGGATACGAATGTCGAAGTTTCTACTTTCAAAGTTGTGGAGTCTAATGTTGAAACGGAACTCACGTGGGAAGCTCTGCACAGCTGTGGAGCTAGGTACTTCTAGCAATACTTTCAAGTGGCCTATAGTTGGTAAGTACCAATTGTTAAAAGTTACAAAAAACTTTTTTCAGTCAACTTTTCTAATTAATGTAAATAAGTAGTTAATTATAACAATACTAGTACATAATCATAATTAAAAATATTGGTAAATAAGCGCTAGAGAAAGATTATGTATCGCTCGATGAAGAGGGTGGCGGGGTCATTGCCCTTGCGTGGTGCATACGACTCGAGACAATTTTGCAAAACTGAATATTGATAATAATACAGATAAGAATAAACTAATACAATTAGCCAGAATATTGAACAGAATAAACTTTTATATATTTTTAGATGATTTAGCATTATTTCTGTTATTAATTTCTTAAATATCAACAAACTGTATAAATATATATAACTAAAAATATATAGAAATAATATGTAACATAAAATTATAGGCTAGTGTAATAAATATTTATGTTTAAACAATTAATATTTTCAGGCGTTACTTTGTGGAAGTCCATGTTAATAAAAATGGAAGTTAATTCATTTGCTACTCCGCGAACCCAGTGATGTATCAATTTCTTCGGCCGAGCGTCGAGCAATCAACGGCCTCTGAGGATGCCTCGTGGAAAGGCGAAACACGTGTCGGGTATATTGGTGGTGGTGTTTGTGACTGTAGTTGCGCTTGTGTAATTTATTATATTAATTTTATGCGGAGGGAGGGTGGGAAAATTAACTGCATGAAAAAATAGTCAACACAAGCGCAGCTATTTTGCCCGATTTAATCTTCACTGGGTTCGCGGAGTAGCAAATTAATTAACTTCCATTTTTGTTGATTTAAACCTTAGAAATGTAGCGATTAATAATGATTGTTACAGAATCAAAACCCTATACGACAACGTAGACGTAGTAACAATCAGAGAGAACACAGAGGGTGAATACTCCGGCATAGAGCACGAGATTGTTGATGGAGTAGTGCAGTCCATCAAGCTCATCACCGAAGAGGCCAGCAAAAGGGTGGCTGAGTTCGCCTTCCAGTTCGCCAAAGACAACAATAGGAAGAAGGTCACTGCTGTACACAAGGCTAACATTATGTAAGTGATAAATTGTAACTTGTTTTCATGACACTTGACAAAATCCTTTGAAACTTGTTTATTGACTTGTTAAATTTTTGTTCTTTATTATTCATATTAATTTTATTTATTTGCAAGTCTAATGGTTATAAAACAGATGTTCTTAAGCTAATGTAGGAACTAGTGTTGGGTAGGACATGAAATTAAAATGAGTTTGAGGGAGTACCTCATTTCAAAAAATGAGGCGGTACAATGTCCTTCTTCAAATAAGGTGAGGTAGTGGTAACAATGTTTGTATACCTACACTACGACAATGACTCAACAGACAGGGAATAATAAGCACATTTTTATAATTTAATGGTATCAATCAATTGGATAACTTAACTCAACACTACTAGGAACATGACATGTAACACCATGTAGCACTCCAAATTTTGACCGCACAAGTCCTTCATTCCTAATTACATTATTAAAATAAAATTAGAAATGATTAATAATAAAAATATACATCTAAAATTTTATTTCCATAACATTAAAGTCTCATTCCCGGTGCACTTATATATTACTAATTGTTTTTAACCAACTTCAAAAAAGGAGGAGGTTCTCAATGTTATGTAATGTTATCTCTCTGTGTATGTTAGACGATCAGATAGATATAACAAAAAATAATTTTATATTACTTTTGTTTTATTATACCGCCTTGTTTAAAGTATGTGGTGCAGGAAATATGCACCATAATTAAACACAAAATAAGTAATACCATAGACAATTTTTTATTAATTCTCGCAATTACAAACACTGATGCTAGCGAGCAGCTAACTGTAAGACAGTTTTTCTTCAGTCTGTTTCTCTTTGTTAGTAGATATTTAAAAGTTTATAGCAGGAGACATGAATGGACTTACATGCTTGGTTTGCCGGTCTACTCCGGCAGAGTTGCACGCTCTATAGTTTTTGTAGTTAGTTTTTACACAAGTTAATTTTTAACGGACTTCAAAAAAGAAGGAGGTTCTCAATTTGACAATTTTTATGATGGTGAAAAGATGGTACCTCGGTATTGGTCTCATTTAAATTTGAAGAAAATATTCCACCCCTAGAGTGGCAAACTGGGGGATGAATCCGGTTTCGGGCACTTTCTGGTAACCGTTTTCAATAAAACTTGCCAAATAGATGTATTTCACGAACTTTTCGGGTCGGCTTTTTTTTCGTAAATATGTTATAATTATTGGTTTAAGTTTTGTTACGGTTTGTGTTTGTTTACTCTTATTTGTTACCTGTTTCAGCTGGTGGCTGTATAGCCAAAGCTCAGTAAATAAATTTAAAACTGTGGGTTCTTTGTTTAAAGTAATGCAAATACTCCCGAGCATGTTTGACAAAAATTTACAATTCTATTACAGGTATTTGGTTTTGCACAGTGATATTTACATTATCGTGAATACAAGTGAAGTGTACTCTTTCAGTTAACAGTAAAGTGGTTTAAAAGCAGTTCTATTTTGTATTCACTAGGCAAGGTTATTACAATTCCTGCAGTTAGTCACATGATACGCTTGTTAGTGTCAATTAGAGACGGTATTATGTCTCGAGCCGTTAATAGGTTCACTTTGCAATGAACTGTGAGATAAGAATAACTAGTCAATTTTAATGTACATATATTGTATATAGTATAAAAACAACTTTGGTTAACAAGAAACGTATTTATTGAGAAATATAGAATCTTTTCAACTCCTTAGGTTTTCGCGATTGTTACACATAGGAAATGGAACTATTTTTCCAGATTTAAATCGCGTATATTTGGTTTTTCAAACAAACCAACGTTTCGGGCCTTTTATAGGTTTTAAAACTGCGACCATGGGATAAATGTAAAGAGCCCGAAGCGTGTCGCGATTACGCGATTTAAATAGTTTGTCTGGGAAAATAGTTTCATTTCCCATATAGAATCTTTGTTTTGAAAATCGCCTTGAATTTGTTATTTAGATATTAATATTGTTGTTAAATGATAGTTTATCTAGATTATTATGTTTAGGTACTGGTTTGATTTCTTTTGTCTTATTGTTTTCCGATATACAAAGTTATTTATAAAATACCAGCGACCTATCAGGACTATATTACTATTAACATCATAAACAACTCTGTTCCATAACTTTTTATTATTCATCCGACTTTACTTTCGTACTAAAATAAAAATATTTAATTAGATCACTCTAAACGGTGATAACACTGTGCGGCAGCAAAACGCAGGAGCGGGGGATAGTAGCTACCTTACTGCCAAATAGAGACCTACATCTGTAACTAATGATAGTAAATAACCACGAAACTCCTAAACTCGATGTAGTCATTTCCCAGTTTGGTCCACTCGGCGCGTTACAAAAAATAAGGCGCCGCGTTCAGCCTACATGGATGACCAGCGGAACATAGACAGACTCACTAGACGGGCAGGAATTCAAAATTAGACCGATTTTCTTTTGGATAAAATAAGACGAGGGCAGTCCTGACTAATGACATGAGTAGACGATTCCTCGAGCCGGATCACTTATACAGTCTATCCGCGCACGAGACATTGATTGGTTGATCACGAGTGTTGTCCTTGCCTCCCCCGTGTCCCGCAGATCTTGAAAGATCGAACTTATGACAATTATAAATGGGCTGTTATCTAGTAGCACTTAAGAATCGATATGAAGTAAATTCCTTTTACTATGCTGTAATTTACTATGCATGTAGTGTCTATAATAGATTGTGCACTAGGTTTTAAGATTTTACATGTATATTTCCGATTTTGTATTGGTGTAACAATTATTGACTGACCAAATAAAAAAATGTTTAAAAATGGCTTTGGTTGATTACGCATAACAGTGAAAATGTTAAATCAATAACTTTGAAACAAATATATAGTAAAATTAAAGATATACACGATTCCTAAAAGTTTTCACGATTGAAAAAAACACAAACTTACTTGACTTACTTCAACATTTTACAAGAAAACCGCTGCATTCAATAGGTTCATTACATGTCGAGTTCTTAGGTTTTCGCGATTGTTACACATAGTCACGGTCACGGTTGACTGCCAACCGTGACCATGGGACCTGTTTAGGCCCAAAACGTCGGTTTGTTTGAAAAAACAAATGTACACGATTTAAATCCGGAAAAATATCGAGTTCTTAGGTTTTCGCGATTGTTACACAAAGGAAATCAAACTATTTTTCCGGATTTAAATCGCGTATGTTTGTTTTTTCAAACAAACCAACGCTTCGGGCCCTTTATAGGTCCCATGGTCACGGTTGACTGAGGTGGTACAGTCTTCAACCAGTTATGTCTAATATTGATGCAAACCACCCTATTCTTTCACTATAGTTACGATAGTTATTAATTAAATACCTTATTTTTAATTTTACAAAGAAAACCTTCCAATTTACGCTACATTAAGTTTTACAAATTATTTTATTGAATGAATTTTTATCAACTTCAATTTATTATTAATTATTAATTTAGTTTTTTCTAATTTCTATTTCCTAGGTTCATTACATATACCAACAATTTTTTTATATCAACTGAACTGAATAGAACACGTATAGTACATATACACTTTTCAAATAGCTTTAATCTGGTTTGTAAAAAAATTAATTGTGAAATAAAGCCAATGTCCCTGCCGCCCAAGCAAAATGAACCGTATTAGTACAGGAAACCTTTGAATTCGAGCTGAGGTAATATCGATTCTTAAACTAATCTAAAATAGTAACGCTAATCTGTTATCTATAATAGAATCTTGAATCAAAACTATTCAAATATCACAGCCGTCCTTAGCGAGCGGCTCGCTGAGCCTTGTTGCCGTTCCATCAATGTGACCGTCAATATAAGGGGCTCGGTGTGGTGTCTAAAGTTACTTTTTTTATTCTCTGCTTAAACTATAAATCAAGTCAACTGTCATCGCATTTAAAGTTGTGACGGTGTGACCTCCTTACATCGTAATCCTCGTATTTAAATTTAAATTTTGAATTGTTCCATAGCTCTTTTGCCTCGCATTCTGATTTTGTTTCGTTCCCTGCCCGATCGCGGTAGCGAACACATCTTCTCGTCTTATTTTTTTGAGCCGTTTACCAGTTACTAAAAATCTCTTGTACGTTTTAAAGATCATAAATATTGTTAAAACTGGAATAAATATTTACAAAACTGTATATTTATAGGACTGGATCTAGTGGTAACTAGTTCTTTACCCTTTTAAACTTTGAACTTTAAACTTACTAAGTAAGAGGCTGCGGAGGCTACTACTACTACTCTCCTGGCTACATTACAATCCTTCTGAACAGTCAACAGAACTCCACCAGCGCCAGCAGTGCGCGTTTCAAAGTTCTTATGAAGGCACTTAAGATGAACGTGATGATTTCAGGCGAATGTCAGACGGTTTGTTCCTGCGTTGCTGCCGAGATATGGCCACCAAGTACCCTGACATCAAATTCGAGGAGCGCTACCTTGACACAGTCTGTCTCAACATGGTGCAAGACCCTGCCAAGTTTGATGTATTGGTTAGTATTGACTTTGCAAACTAACATACAAATACACAAATAAAATAGTGACAAGAATTGAAACATCTCTATTGTTATTGAATATTATCGCGATGTTTTTACTGCTGTGTTTTTTTTATAACACTAATTGACGGGACAAACAAGTCGTGCACGCGTAAGTGGCACGCCTGTCCATAGCTGTTACAGTGCCACTCAGAGCTTTATATCGCAAAGACCTGAGGAGCACTGCCACTGCGCCCATCAGCCTGAGACATAAGTTGGAAAATCCCATGTGCCTATAATTTTACCAGCCCCTTACTTTTCAAAACCGGAACGCAGTAATGCTCACATTACTGCTTGGCGGCAGAAATAGATAAGATGGCAGTACTTCCCTGGACGAACTCTTGCACATGAAGCTCTACTGCTACTAGATTATATTTTTTTGTGGTAATCCTTCACTATACTATAAAGGTTGAGGTAATTTAATGTAAACAAACCACTATGAGGCTGGTTACTTATTGTAAAATTATAATAAACTTTTTGAAAGTGGTTCTAAATATATGATAATAATTTCAGCTAATAGACAACATTTCGAACTACTTATTTGAAATAATACTAAATACCTAAATGTAAACGGCATAGATTAAATATTTAAAGAAATATGTTTAATATCACACATATCACAACATTCCTACGATAAACAACCTAAAAATCCGAAACCTCAAGATAGACAACTAATAACATGCGACTAAATTAATGAGTACCGCAGTAATACGACATACGGAATTCACTACTAAATATTGTATTTGACCACTTAAGAGGGACATGCCAAAAAAGTTTTGACGTTGGCTCCGCTCAAATTTGTGAAAGAAATGTATGCCTGAAGTTCGCGTGACATGCGACAGGAGATGTTGAATTTTGCGCATTAAAAGTACCAAATTCGTTTTAGCGGAATAACTCTAAAACTAAAGCGATTTAAAAAAATCCGTAGTGGCAGTTGTCGATCATACATAAATATAATTAATTATCAGTTTTTTGTCCTAATAACTTGTAGCATTTCGAGATTGAATCGAAAAAATGTGAAAATTAGAGATCATTTCGTGATTTTTATCTATCGAGGAAACTTTATTGTTTTATGTTTCTGATTAATGTCTATGCTTGAATATATCGTGTAGTTACTCATACAATATTTTATTTTTAACTTTAAAGTGGATATACCCCTCTAAAATCAAATCGAAGATTAGGAATTTTTCCTCTGCTCCCTCTTAATCCGACGCCATTACAACAAAGTTTGCTTTGCTTGCAAATGACAGCTGAAGTTTGTTTACTTTGTCTATATTTTGATTAAATATCATTATCTATTATATATTTTTTTGAGAAAATACTCCACTAGTTTGTTATTATTCTTACAAAGATTGAACAAACACAATGAAGATTTCCTTAGATCCGACTGGACTCGAACCAGTATCTGTTGCCTCAACGTGGATACACATTAAAAGATCTTGTTTATCCTGGATATCTATCCAGTTTTGGTCTCATCTAAAGCGTTGTTTTAGGCCATAGTCCATAACGCTTCCCAATGCAGGTTGGTAACTTCAAACGTTTTCCAAGGTATGTAAACCTTCTATTTGCTGGTTTCATCGCTACGTGGAATTTCGCACGTGAAACCAAATATTGTCCTAACTAAAAAATGATGATGGTGTGAAAACACGATATGAAAGTTCGAACATTTACTAAATGGAACCAATAAATTTATATTCTCGTATATAAGCAAATTACTAATAAATAAAAAATTACTGTATAAATAAAAAATATTCCCATTATCCGCAATAAGATTCATTCAGTATTTTTTTAAATTTTCAATACAATATTTAGTTTCATCTGCCATACATTCACCACACATTCACAAAATGTACGTAACTTAGAAATTAGTCATGGGTACGCGTGTCTACAGAGATCAACAACGATCTCTCAATTGAAATGCAACTGTTCTGCCACTAGGCTGCCACGATTAATATTTTTGGGTGTTGTTTCTCAGGTAATGCCCAACTTGTACGGCGACATCATGTCGGACATGTGCTCGGGTCTGATCGGCGGGCTGGGCCTCACGCCTTCGGGCAACATCGGCTTGAACGGCGCGCTCTTCGAGTCCGTGAGTATTCCCACCTGTTCTAACATAATGGTACTTTGAAATCCAGACTTATACAGGATTGTTTCTAGTGCCCGGAAACATTCTAATCAGTATGAATAAAAAGTGAGGGTCATATATTTGATTATCACAGGATTACGCTCCGTGGTCACGGGTTGAGTGACCAGCGGCAGTTTACTGCTTTAAAAACAGACATATCTGTCTATAATCGTGCGCAAGGCTCGAATTTACAATGCCGCGGAATGGAATGGAAGTGAATGTTTGTAAACATATCATAATGAACTTTATGCCAGCTGTGTAAAGTACAGACTAGATACGATACGGTAGCTGCGGGAATTCTCCGAAAAACGCACGACCTGTTTTGTTTTTAACATGAAGTTTGTTGTGCCAAAATGCACTTCCATTCCGTTCCGCAGTAATGTAAATTGAACCTACGTCAATCCTCACCCGCAACGATACAGGGGCATGGGGGAAGGCGAAAAAGAGAATCGCGCGGAGAGCAGGCGGTTAGCGCAATTTAAATTTAGCTTAGGGATGTGCATATATCGATACTTACAAACTGTATCGATATTAATCGAGAAAAATATATAAATGTGCCATTTATACATTAGCACACCATTAAACGTAATAGAATCACAACGATTATCATTAGAATTATCCGCAAATATTTTCACCTCGGGTGCATCGCACTGCAACACATCAACCCGCTCCCACACCCCTGTAGCGTCGCAGGCGAGCCTCGACTTAAGCAGCCTACCTATAAGCGACGATATGACCGACGATGGTACGCGTTTGTATAAAAAAATACTTATTCACTCTAGCCTATAATTTAACATTTAAACAAACCACAATGGTTCGCGTAATTCGAATTTAAGTAGGTTTTTGGGTTGCATAGAAGTGTAATACTTACCTAGAACATTTTTTTAAGTTTGCTAAGTACCTATTGATATAATTTATGAATATAAAAATCGAACACACAAAAAAAATTTCGTCGACTCAGAGATTTTTGAATAACCTCACCGCAGCCGATACCTTTACAGGTATCACAACTAACGCAGATGTCGTTTTTCGATCAAGATGCTGCGGTGAAGTTACTTAAAAATTCACTAGCGGCGACGAATGCCGATAAAGTCAGTACAAAGAACTATGACAAAAAAAAACATAGGAGAATTTCGACGACTCGACAACTTGACCCGTGGCACAGATGGTTAGAGCAATGCTACGGTGCAGCATGTACGCGGGTTCAAGTCCCACTGTGTTCGATCTTTGTATTTGTTATCATAACAAAACTTGTGGGGTTATTTCACAAAAATCTCAATAAATACTTATTGATACTTATGATTTAATCCAAGAGGAAAGAGAGCTGCTAATCTCCGTACTACATAATCGTAACTCTGAAAAAGGTCAAAATCCCGTCTTATTAGATGGCGCTGATCGATAGCCTGAAAGTAATTTAGTAAATGGCCGTGGGTATCAGCTAATTCCTCTGTAATATGAAATAGAAGTAAGGCATTAAATGTTGCGAAATCCACATTAAACTATTGTCCTACAATATTACTTTCAATGTTACTAAAGTACATAATTATTACATATTTGGATGCTATTTTCAGACATAAAATATAATAGCTATGTATATTATTATTATGAGCCTAAACTGTCCCACTGCTCGATGTTTATAACGTCCGTATAAATCTTCTAAAACTGCCTTAATTTAGTTCTGAAGGTCTAATTGACGTATGCCACTTTCATACCAGGCGCTTTCATGACCAATTTAGGAAACGTTTATTAATTGACCCAACCAACCCACACATCTAGACCCGAAACAAAAGTACAGCGAAGTTGTCTGATAAATTTATTAATTGTTACACTTACCCAGTGATGTGCTATGATATTAAGCTCAAATACGGCTCGTATTTCTGCTGCGTTGTGGGCCAGGAAGTGTTTACAGGGCATGATGCCCGCATTGTTAATTAGCATCGTCACTTCTCCCACCACGGCAGACCTTTTCTTTCAACTCCAGAACGGCTTCTCGGTTCGTTACGTCACATCTGGATATTTCGAAGCATATTTGTTTTGTTATACAGTCACATTACCAAGTTATTACCAAATTTAAGGTAGTAAGGCATATAGGAAAAAGACGGAGGCGTATGAAGATTTAGGAATTGATAGATAGAAAATCAGTATATAATTACGTACATTTACGTATCATAAATAATAAAACCAATACACGTATATTACTATAATATATTTATAAAAAATATAAAAATAAAAATTGAATTTCATAATAAATAATCATTTTGAAACATCAATTCCTAAGCAGTTCAAGTCGCACTAAAGTAAGGTAGTATTCTTTAACCATATTTTTCAAAAGACGCAATGATTTCGCATGTTGAATGGAGTTTAGAGCGTTCCACAAACATATAACCTGAACAGTAAAATACTTAAATTTTTATTGAATTGATATTCAATTATTTTTTGTGTGAAATTACTCCACTAGTTTGTTATAATTATTAATACAAAAATCGAACACTCACAAAAATTCCTTCTATACGGCCGGATTTGAACCGACGTCTACTAGCATACCGTGCCAGACGCTATACCAACTACGGCACTTGGATTGATGGGCGAATTCAATTCGCTGCTTAAGATAAGGTGGTGTGTGGAGAATGAATAAGATTAGGGCTAAAGAAGATTAAGGGTCGTATTCTAGAACTCTACTCAATGCTCAAGTCAGGATTGCACTGGAAACACAAGCACTGGAAATACGACCCTAATGGTAGGGACTTGAGTATGATTTTCAGTGCTCACTGCAATACTCAAGTCCTGACTTGAGTATTGAGTAGAGTTTTGGAATACGACCCTAAGAGTATGAGCAGTGTGTGTTACAAACGAATTTATAAATGACCTCTTGCTAATTTGGGTAGATGGCGCTATTCCTAAACAAACTAAAGGATGGTTGACATTGTCCATAAAAATCTGTACAATAAGCTCCCATCTAGTGGATTTGTTTGTTATCACTATACTCTAGCCAAATTCGATGTAAAATAAATGTCAACAAACAAAAACAGAATTGATTTTTAGTGTTTTCATCTCGGACTCTTTCACAGTTTAGATTATAGATAATACGAAATTTTGAAGTCATGTTTATAATGAATATTATTGAACAGAAATTTGAAATCACCTAAATTGACATAAAAATGACCATTAATTAATTATTTGTAAAACTGTGTCATCCCTAGTGACTTTTTGATTTGATGGGAGAGATTGCAAACATTCGAGTTCTGGTGGTAATTCAAGTTCAAAATCTTGTTTCTTTTCATCTACCATTACCTACCATCTAGCAGTAAATATTAATAGGATGCAAACACTTATTTTTATCCCTAAATCATATGTATGAATAGGTATGTTACAAGCTTTATAATAATTGGCTAGGTAAGTGTTACTTGTACATAACCAAATTACCTACTCATCTATTTAAATGCCCATTAAGGGAGCAGGCCGTGGGCAGAGCAGGCCTTAATAAAGAGCATTGAAAAAAATGTTCTTTTCCTATGTCATCATTGGTTGCCTGGCAACGTTTTGTTATTAAACATTCTACATCGAATTTGGCCAGAGTATAGAAATTAGAGTAGCTTTGATAAATTGCATATTATCAATGTAAAACAAATTAATTACAAAAATACCTATTTAGCACTCGTAGCGACATCTGGTGTAACAATAGGTACTAAATGCCCAACTACGCTGGCTTGTATTGCAATTAGTAGGCCTCTTGAGTTGTTATCAATAGTCGGAAAAAGTTGTTCCACGTATTAGACACATGTATAGATATAGCTACAAGGAGCGACATAGAGTTGTTAAAATCACCAAATATTAATTAATTACTGTTTCGAATTCCGGATTTCCGGAAATGGTTTTACTGCATCGTAGGACAAAACTACTGAAGTCGAAGTTGGATTTTAAAGTAATTCTAATGGTGTCATGTAATAAATGCAGTAGATAACTGACCTTTTACCAAAACAGAGAATAAATAAGTAACGAGACAGGTCACATTGACGGAACTGCGACATTTGCTAGTATATTATTTACGTGGGGAATTTTAGGATATACTGCTGAACGTTAAAACAAGACCAAAAAGTGGTATTTTTGACGGCCCTACCCATGTTAACTATTTATCTTTGTAAATAAAATAAAGACAGCAGTTTCTTTCATCCGGAAAACCGGAATTCGTTCGGAAATGTATTAGAATACTAGTGAATATCGACCCGAAGGAAAGTTGTAAACCGTACTTCATAAAATTAAAAATTCTGACAATACCGTCTTTATACATTTTAGAAATGTGTAAATTTGTTAAAAAAAATTATCAATATTTCACTAAAGTAAAGGACACGTACTACACCCGACCACTGAACCTCAGGTATAAAAATAGATTGGCACTACCTAGGTCGAAATTACAAATGTATAATCAAGGACCCTATGTAATGGCCATTAAAGTTTACAACAAAATTCCAAAGGAGATTTCATCACAAACTAAATATAATTTATTCATCAAGCAACTTAAGGCTCATTTGATAGAAAAATGTTACTATAGCTTGAAACAATATTTTGAAGAATGATTGTAACAATTTAATCCCATTTGTACCTACTGAGAGGAAGAAATTTGTGAAATGTCAGCTATATATTCGATTTACTTGCTGTTAATTTGATTTATAATCTAGTCTTTAAAAGTAACTTTAGGTAATGCTTTTTTTTTATTTAAAAAAGAAAAGATATTGTTTTAGTACATATGGTTAAATTGCGGCGCCCTAACAGGGTCATGTTGATACTACTTTAACTTTAAGATCATTTGTAACACATGAAAGCAATAAATACTTTGACTTTGACTTTAACTTTGATTCGAAAAAGTACATAATTCATTCATGTTTGGTGGGTTTAACAACTCTATGTCGCTCCTTGTAGCTATATCTATACATGTATATAGAATATTTATATAACCAATGGTCGGA